TTTCAAAGTATGTTCATTTTCACAGGTGCAAAATCAGCAAGCAAAAGAAGAGTCCCTTGCTGACGATCTCTTTAGGTAGGTTGAATTTAAGCTTTCTCATCAATCTTAGAGAGATCTATATAAAATTCAGTTCTATTCATAGAGATTAAGTATTTTCCTTCTGTCCTTAGAAATAGAGGCTTCACCTAAAGAATGTTTTGTTTTTAACATGTATTGCTTTTTACGACATGAGGACCTTAGTTTGGTTACTGGATATAGCTTCGAAGTTTGGGGTCCACTCAGTCGTACTGTACCCCTGGATATTTAAAATATGTGGGGGTGGGGCACTCAGGTCACAGAAGGATCCTGAGCTGGGCTCGTAAATTTGTGAGATTCTCAACTGGGTAGAGTTATGAATAAATAGGTTTTGAATCAAGATAAGTAAAATACCAGACCATTAGTTGAATTTTAATTGACACAAGTATAAAAACAAGAGGCTGGATTAGAATTTCAAAGTAGGTTCTTGTGAGAGATTTAGCAGAGTTATAAGGGACGATTATAATTTAATTCTGATTTAACATATATTCAGCATCTTACAGGCCCAACAAACCTTATAATTCACTTTCAAATACTCATAAAATACTATATTGTATGTAGATACTTGTTAGTGGAGAATAACATTTCCCCAAACTTATTTAAAGGCAAATGAAGAAGGTAATCTATTTTTGAGTCTGTTTTACAGCTGATTTTTTTATTTTTTATTTTTTTTAAATATATTTTATTGATTTTTACAGAGAGAAAGGGAGAGAGATAGAGAGTTAGAAACATCGATGAGAGAGAAACATCGATCAGCTGCCTCCTGCACACCCCCCCACTGAGGATGTGCCCGCAACCCAGGCACATGCCCCTGACCGGAATCGAACCCGGGACCCCCCAGTCCGCAGGCCGACACTCCATCCACTGAGCCAAACCGGCTTCGGCGAGCTGATTTTTTTAAGTTTCATTATTGACAATATGAGTCATTCGTCAACGTGGTGTCAGTGTTCATTTCTCATAAGTAGTCAAAGAAGCCAGCCTGCTGCCCAGCTGCCCCTAATTACTAGGGTAGAAAATGCTGTGAAGTAATTTTACTTTAGGCTCACTATTGTTCTTTTGTGCAAATAGTATATTTTAATTGGGGGTGGGGAGGAACTGTTTGAAGCTATGCTAGAAGTATAAACACATTTATTTTTAAACTGTTGTTTCTGTTAATTATTTAAATGCTTTTATAGATTATTTTTTGTTGCCGATGCTTTATTTTTTACCAAATATTAATGAAAGCAACATCAAAGTGATCAATGAAAGTAAAAATGTCAGTGCTTAATATATGATGCTAAGGATAAAACTGGCATTCTCATTCTGTTTGGTAATGTGTGATTATATTTGGAAAACCCTTTAAAAGTGAAAGAAATGTCATCATTTATCTAAATATTATTTAACCCATTTCTTTCTTTGCAGATACAATCCTAACGTAAAAAGGAGAAGATAGATAACTGAGGTTGTTAGAAAGAAGCCATGGGAAAACATTTCCTGCCCACATACTTCCTGTTTCCTCTGGATTCAGGGGTTTAAGTTACAAATGCTCCGTGACCTGAATTTGTTAAATAAAATGCACAAACTCCATTTCTTTTGTGTGACAAGTAGTATGGTCTGTTGTTACTGAGCTGCGTGTCCCTCTGCTTTAAGTCAGTTTTTGTAAAGTACAAATGGTAAGAGATGAGTATCTCACCTCTTACAGGAGTTTTTTTCATTTTTCAATTTAGTTTTTATTTATTATTGAGTTTATAGTCACAGTTCATAATTCTACAAAGATAAAAAGGGTAAGGAATACAAAGACTCCCTTCCACGGAACACTGTCCCAGCTATTGGTTCCTCAGAAAAAAAATCTACAATACTCATTTCTTAGGTCTTTCCAGAGATTTTAATGCCTATTCAAATTTCTGTGTATATTATCTTTCAGTACTTTCCTACAAAACAATAGCATAACAAGTCCAGTGTCCTGCACCTTACTGTTCCCCCCTGCACAGACTGGAAGGCCGTGGGTATATCGGAACGATGGTTTTCTCTTCCATTATGCAGGAGTCGCTCCTGAGCCGACGCCGGAGAGATGACTGCAGGTGAGGATGTCACCACATAGTCTAGTCCGGCTCGTGGATTAATCTCACAGGAGGGAGAGACCTGTTTGTGGTCTTACCGAACTGGGTGTCCCTCTGCTTTGAGACCTAGTTTTTGTGAAGTACAAATGGTAAGACTGTCTTCTTTCTACTGTAAAGGGACATGGTAAGGCCGAAACCTGTTTGGCTCAGTGGATAGAGCGTCGGCCTGCGGACTGAAGGGTTCCGGTTAGATTCCGGTCGGAGGCATGTACCTGGGTTGCGGGCGCTTCCCCAGTGGGGGATGTGCGAGAGGCGGCTGATCGATGTTTCTCTCTCATCGATGTTTCTAACTCTCTATCTCTCTCCCTTCCTCTCTGTAAAAAATCAATAAAATATATTTTTAAAAAAAAG